TACAGGGATGATCAGGGGCCTGGAACATCTGCCGTATGAGGAGCGGCTGAGGGAGCTGGGCCTGTTCAGCCTGGAGGAGAGAAGGCTGAGAGGGGATCTAATCAGTGTCTATAAGTACCTCAAGGGAGGGAGTGCAGAGGATGGTGCTGGTCTCTTTTCAGTGGTGGCCACTGATAGGACTAGAGGGAATGGCCGGAAACTGAAACATCAAAAATTCCCTAGGAACTTAAGGAAAAATTTCTTAACGGTGAGGGTGACAGAGCGCTGGAACAGGCTGCCCAGAGAGGTTGTGGAGTCTCCTTCTCTGGAGATCTTCAAACCTGCTTGGATGCAGTCCTGTGCCACGTGCTCTAGGTGACCCTGCGTGTGCAGGGGGGTTGGACTAGATGATCTCTAGAGGTCCCTTCCAACCCTAAGCATTCTATGATTCTATGATCTGAGCATATAGGAGAGCTCTGGGTCTTCTGCATGATACTCTGGCCCTAAAAAGTACTGAAGCCCTGGAACTAGTTAGCTGCAGAGTGAGTTGAAAATGAGGGTCCTGCAATGTCAAAGCAGCACTTCATGTGGTCAGGCCCTTGTAGAAGTATTCCCCAGCACCTGCATGAGCCAAAGCTATAGGGTCATTTTCAGCAGAAAATGGAAGGAGAAAGTCCAAATTGCTCTATGTAGGGGCTGTCTGGAGAGACTGGTCTCTCCTGTCTTGCTTGGTCCTTCAAACAAAGCCAAAGTCCACAATTGAGAATGGCTCCAGGCAATACAAAAAAGGTATGCAAACCGCATCATAGATGAGGTCATCTCCAGTTTATTCCCACTAATACGAATTAGTTTTAGCCCTCTGACTTGTGGGCAGTGGCCAGTTGTGGCCTGCAGAAAGCAAAGTTTGGATGCCTTTGCCGTGTGCATGGGTATAGCAGATTGTACAACAGCTGTTGTACAGCCAAATTAGTGGAGCTATTCATTGTGATTATTTCACTTAAATAATTTGGCTAAGAGAAAAGACTAAGACAGACATAAAAACTAGAAGGCTTCTGCCAGTGACTTCATATATTTCAGGAACAAATTTAAACTAACTCTGAGTGCCAGAGGAACTAAAAATCAGAGGGTACAAAGCCTCTCCTCATACAACATATGACCTGCAAGAGTGAAGAGTATCCACCAGAAGACATAATTTTCCAAAACACTTACCTGAAGATTATTCTAAGTATTGAGAAGCTATTGCTACAAAATCCATTGTAGGTAACAAGGTGCATTTTAATTTAATCCTGCATCCCACATCAGATAGTTGCTTGACTGAATAAATGATGGATCTGAATGCAATTTTTCCATGAAGTATGTTGGAACTAAGCAATTGTGCTTCCATCTAGTGATAAACCCACATAAAAGGAAAGTTGAAATGACTTTCAACCATTTGGCAAATAATAAAATTATGGGGCAGGCAAATGCCCAATAGGCAATGACCATATTTAGATGGTTTTCAGTGCAGAAAGGATGAAGGAGAAAACAGCAGGACTACAAAATGTCTTTCCTAGCCATGTGCAAGCCTGGTCATTGACCTGGCAGGATACATGGTGACAGCTTTTGCGATTTATCTCTGAACTTGGCACTGGAGACACAGAGAAAGCTTGCCTTTGTGGCATCGTCACCACACAAGATAAGGTCTTGTGTGGGCAGCAGTGATTGTGCCCAAGGGCCAGGCTCACTTACCCATCCAGTTCAGCTGTCTCAATATATGTCAGGCTGTGTGGCTCACTGCTCGACAGTAGCAGTAGATCGGCCTGAATACAACCAAACAGATGTGGCATGAGCTACGACAGTTGGAGAGCAACGGCACCATTTGTGAATGAGAAAAGTAAAAGAGGATAATTGGGCACATGACGGAGAGAAACTGTACTCACCATCACAAAGTTGTTGTTTTCTAGTTTTATTATATCCCCCACTTGGATATTCATCCATTTTTCATCTTTCAACCTGCAAGAAAACTTATTTTAATAAGCACATCAAGTACCTACAATGGCAATGTAGGCCAGTGCCTACGATGGCCTTTGCGGTGCTAATCAAGATGCCCAGTTAAATGGCAAGTGTCAACTCAACCATATCACAGAATATTAGCAAATTTGTATTTCAATATAAGTGTTCAGTAGACACAGTAACTAATACACAGTAAACTAAGAGACTGGCTTACTTAGCTGAAAACACAAGTAGTATGTTCCTATTCTTCAGTGGAAACTGGAAAGTTATATTTTTAATTGTTCAAGCATCTGTTGGAGTTTAAACAATATACTTCCATCTATAGCACAGAAAAAAATATCAGTCACCAGGGACTTCACGGCTGTCAACATCTGTGTCTTATGGACACTTGGACTCCATGGACTTGCAAGTACAGAGCACATCTGTCTGCCACGAAAGTCAAAGATTCGAGTTTTTGGTTTTTATCTGAAGGAAAAAACAGGGCTAGCAATACAATGCCTAAGACATATAGATGAAATGTTTTCAATACCTCTAAGGCAGAAGTATTTCATGCATAAGTAGACACACTCAAAGTATTAAAATATGCATGGAACAGTGACTCATTTTTTTTTCATCTAAAAGCACTTGTTGATTATGTCTAGCTCTGCTTGGCTCAGAAATAAACACAAATGGACCTGCTTGGTATCTCTAGGGTAAAGAGTAAAATAATATAATACTCTCAAGGCATCAACTATTTAAAAAGATATATATAATGGAAAATAAATATTTTACTTTTTTTCTTTGCAGGGGCACAGCTGTAATGTCTACACCGATTGTGATACTGTCTTTTGGACACGTTAATCAGATAGAGTAATCCAGGATGCCACTGAGCACTGTGAAAAAAACATGGTGAAAGAAGATTCCATTTTATATTGCTTAGTGCTCTTTGGGAAGTTAGTGCTTTGGAGAATCTTTTGGACGCACAAAATAATAGCAATAAAAAGCTCTTCCCAGTGGTAAATATTCAGTTGAAATGACAGCAGAAGAGACAAGACTTACATGCCATTGATCAGCACTTGGACGGGGCAGTTGTTGACATGGTTGTCACTTTTGTGTCGATTCTGAAAAGTTGATCAGCATATCAAAAAACATTTCCAGGAAATCAAGCATACAACAACTTTAGGCAGTGCATTAACATTTTATGTTTCACCCAACTGGCATAAATGACAATGACACTATAGGCATGAATGCAATGACAGAATAAAGGCGTAGCTGAATCTCAGTTGAGATGATGTTTAGCTAGTAGGAAATGGCTTAACTGGACTGCAGATAGGAAGGTGACATGGGGATTGCTCTTAGAGGGAGGAAGGAGGGTGTATCTTGTATGTCACTTAGCACAGTCCTGACTCCAGTGAGGTTGGTCCTCCCCATCACAGTTTTGTGGACTAAGAATCCAGATAAATCCATTCCTCTGATATGGAAGAAAGTGGCCACAGGTGTTCTGGTATTGTTTCCTGGGAGAGCTCCTCACCATCCCTGACCACTTATACTCCACAATAATGTCTGTCTGCCTACATACAAAATGGCACTGAGTCCCCACAGATCAAGCTAAGGTATCAAATGTATTAAAAAACAACCAAACAAAAGCAAACAAAAAACAAACAAACAAAACAAACAAAAAAACAAACAAAATCAAGTACTAAACTCAGCTTTGGCCTAATATTACTCAATGAAGTCAATGGAAATTTTACTGTTGACTTTGATGGGAGCAAATTTCAAGCAAGACTAGGCAAGTCTGAAAAATCACATACAGGTCGTACATATAATTTCTACCAAATGTGCTTTTCTAGCAGGATGTTCCCCACACATATAATGCATAGGACCTAGATGGCAGAGAATGAGTTTCCAAAGTGGAAGCCTAAGAATAGACTCCTGTGCATGTACTCAGGTATTTCTATCACATTTTCAGACAGGCTAACCAGTTTCAGAGAAAATCAATGGAGCTGCTGGGCTGCAATTTGGAATTTCAGCAATTGGAAAATTCTGGTTCATTTTTAGGTAAGGAAGTATATAGGTTTGGAAATCTTATCTCAGACCCCCATCTTGGCCACAGACCAATTCTCCAACTCTGTGCCACTGGCTGTGTTTGTTTTCAGCAGTTTGCTTTCGTCATAGGCCTGAAGAATATTGGGTAAACTCCAAAGCACAGGACAGTAATCTTACGAAATCGTCGATGGCATCCTTGACACCTGATACAGCCAGCACCAGCACTAGGGGCACCACTGTTGTAAACCAG